AACCACGAACTCTGGCCTAATCCATATTTTGCGCGCTTTTCATTGGTCGATAGAATTTCCTCATTACGAATGCGGACGTCTCCGGAAGTAAAATTTGACCAATCATAGTTGCGAAAAACAGCGCCAAAATTCGGGCTAGCCCCACTGAAGATGTTGCAAAATTGTAAACAAAAATTAATTGTAAAGTGTAGCGACAGAGTGTAGCAATGTCTTCTCCGAAGAAAGCGGCGACGCAGCAAGTTTATAATACTTGTAGACTTTGCAATAAACTTTTAGATCGCTACAAAGTAGATTTGTTTGGAAACAAGTCGAAGAGAGAGGGCGTTTTAACGTCTTTGCAAGATATATGCTTAGTAGATAACATACATGAAGACGACGGTTTCTCTGGATATTTATGTAGACTGTGCGCCACAAATCTCGTTAGTATTAGCGAAAAAATTCAAACTTTCAAATGTCTTTACCGGCCAACACAACAACACTTTCTAAAATTTCAAATTGTTTGGTTTTCAAAGCTAAATTTGGCATTCCTATAGCCGATACACCGTGGTCTAGCGAACTATCAAAAAAATTTTCCGCCATTTTTCTTTTTGACACGCATGCGCAATTTAACCGGAACGCCAGAAAATCTGATTAAAAATATGGATTAGGCCAGAGTTCGTGGTTGCTCGCGCCCTCAGGCCAAGAGGAACGCGGGCTCTGGAACGAGATTGTACTTCTTGTAAAATTGTCTGATCGCGCGCATGYGTACTGGTGTGACATCCTCACTTTTTAAAATTACAAATCTTTAGTGAAATGGATTTTAAGTTGAGGTAGCCATAGTCTATCTGTCGTGTCGCATTTGGCCCACACACATCGTTACTAATTGTTTAATGGTACTTGCGCTTTTATGTGATCAAAAAGACATCTGACTAAAACAATTAGATCTCTCGGCCTCATCAGCTCTCGGAACTTCCACTAAATCTCCTCGACATCGGGGACATTTAATCCCTAATACCCCTCAGTACAATGGTATTACTTATAATAATAYAATGGCTATTAAGAGATATTAGGGATTTAAAAATGCCATGAATGCGATTGTAAAATTATATGGGGAGGAGGGGTTTAGACAACAAAATGTGACAAAAAAGGTCAAATGAGTTTCAATGTCCCATCATTTTRTTGTAGTATATTTAACAATTAGATCTCGAGGGCGAGTGGACTACDGAGAAGTGTCTGTCGTGCGACTTCCATATATGGTTGTGCATGTACGGCGCTGATGTGCTCGTAGAAGCCTCTGATGTCCCAGTAGTCTCCTTCGCGGTTACCTGCGCCATGTTGAAACTAGGTAGCCGTGCCTTTGCACCGAAGCGAGACGACCGTTGAGTGTGCAATGATAGAAACGTTCTTTCACACCTACAGACAATTAATCACAGATTTCTATCATTGCACGCTCAACGGTTGTCTCGCTTCGATGTAAAGACACGGCTACCTTTCAACATGGCTCAGGTAACCGTGAGGGAGACTATTATGTGGAGAAGAACTTAGAAAATTTCAAAGACTTAAACTTAAACCGAAAAGAAATTTTTGAAGGACGAGTACTAAGATTCGAACCAGCACTATGCATTGCCTAACCCGATATTTTCCCTAAACCTAACCATTAAAGGGCTACTTGGATGAAAAATGGCGAAACACTGGAAAAGRCACGAAATTCTTGTAGACTTATCAATAAAGATCCTATAATCACGAAGCAATGTATTTTGACAAGATATTGATACAATTTCTTAGGAATTTTGTCAAAAGATTTTGGAGTATATGACGTCATATACTCCATCCTTTTGTTCTATCTTCGTTTGAGTAAAAAAAAATTCTGCTTTGGAATGACRTTCATAACAAAACTTTTCTCTGAGAAAGTAATATAGGTATATATGAATCATATATTTGAATTACACAGGGTTCTGAAATTAGTGCTTCTTCGTGCAAGGAGACAATTCGCTTGAATGAACCTGAATTTTTGTCATATTTATGCAACGGCATGCATGAATAACCACGCATATGTGCATAAGATTGAATATATAATTAATGAACCATCTATAGGGACATGAGAGCCTTCTATAGGTACATTAGAGCCATGCATATGGACATCCATATATGGAAGTCGTACGACAACCTTTCAACTCGGACTACGAACTGATCAGCTCGTAGTCCATGGGCCGAGAGATTGTTTTTGTTTTAGTATTACCATACTGGTTGGACAAAAAAAATGAACGAAATATATAATAACTAAGTGTTTTTATTGCTAAAAATACGCAAAAAGTTGTCGCTTTTCGCTAGTCGAGGACTATTGAAGATATACCCCGAGTAGCGTGGCCAATCAGAACGAAGGATTTGCAATAGTCCTCTAGTATGGTAATACTAATAAACGTTATTACATTTATAATGATATGTTATCAAACTTTATTTATCATATAATTATCTATGAAATACCTATATTTTTCCTTTCGTAAAAACGTCATTTTCACTAGTGAAAATAACAAGCATTTTCACTAGTGAAAATAACATCTTATTACATTCATGGGTAATACAAGTCACTTAGTTCGACCATAGATACAATTAATATGACTAGACAGTCATCTCGCTTTGAAGGAAAAGTAAGGATATGGTTAATTTTAGAGTTATTAGTCAGGGAATTGTTTTCTTGATTCACGAGGATCAATTCGATCAWGCATGCCATGCATCGTGTAATCATCCAATGACACAGGCAGCCTAACCATTAACTCTGACTCTGAAAGTAAGCACATTAATTATTACCTCAGAAGAGCATTGATAGTTGGTGTCCTTTCTGCCATAGCAATCAGGAAACCCATAGAAACCCCATTTAGCATGAGGTCGAAGATGTTTCCCAAGTTTCAACGTTTCTAACATCATAATTCGTGCCGAATCTTCGAAGCTCTTACGAGCCCACTCGACCAGTTGCTCCATCGGCCATTCAGGATGTTGATTACGCAACAAATTGATTGATCTAGTCTGATAGATTTTCTTCGAATCCCAATTTCTCTTCCACGTTGGTCTCCAGCCCTCCCAGTCAATCACGGCCAAACCATCGAAGCGAGGATCCGGTATGCGTGCTACGATATCTCTTGTAGATTTCTTGAGATGTGCATTAATATCAACAAGCTGAGCATTCAAAATTACAAAAGAATCACTCATTTTGACCAAATAGTAACAAATTGATGCCAGTTTAACCTTAATCTATTCATTTTTAAATCACCCTACACAATAACCGATTTGCATTATGGCGTCATTTACTACAACTACCAGAATGCTTTGCCAACTTTCTTTTGTAATGCAATTAGTGCCAATTGTTTTAGGGGCCGTTCATTTGTTATCAGGGAGGGGGGTCGGTGGAATTCCCATAACCTTCTCACAAAAAAACCTGACCCCCCCTCTATGCAGCTGCAAAAAAAACCTGACCCCCCTTTTCATCACAAAATTTATTTCATTGATGTTAACAAACTTGGGGAAATGTGAATCTGCGGTAGTTTGATGAACCTTCAACAACTCCTCAATTCGATCTAAATGAGGGTCTCAATGGGGAAAATTTGGCTAT